GAGAGAGAGAGAGAGAGAGAGAGAGAGAGAAAGGGGCGGGGCGAAAGGAGGGGAGAAAGAGAGCGAGAATACATTAGTAGCAACAATGAGCTAGGCATAGTTCTGCTCTAAGAAACCCATTTTCACTTGAACATAACATGAAATATGATTGTTCGTCTTTTATAGGCTTACAATATTTTTGTTTCCGCGAGTTTCGAAAAGAAAAACGGCAAAACTTTTAATCTATATAATATACTAGGGAGGAGGCCGAATAATCCTCTCTCTTTCTCTCTCTCTCTCTCTCTCTCTCTCTCTCTCTCTCTCTCTCTCTCTCTCTCTCTCTCTCGCTCGCTTCCCGCTTTCTTCACTATGGGGTATTAATGCTTAATCGGCTTAAAAATGAAGGTAGTATCTTAATGCAGCGGCTACGGTAAGCTTTAAACAAAAGCTTTTTTTCTCTTTTTTTCCCGTTTAACCACTCGGTTGAAGGAGGTTTTTTTTTTTGGGGGGGGGGGGGGGGCGTGACCCTCCTGTAAGAACATTATAAATACTTTACATCACAACGTCGTCGCTTGCAAATTTTTGGGACGCCGTTGGAAGTAATTTTCTCAGTTCTCGTCAGCGGGTTCAGCTTGCAACATTCATGTCGTTGTGTGCTCTCATAACACCTTCTCGAAAGATACCTCAGTGTTCTAATGAACATTCTAGAAAGTGTAAGATTAAGAGGTGAATAAAACCAGACTTTAATTTCAAAGTGTATCAATGGATAGAATTATATCGAACGACATTATTCTCTTCAAAGTAGTGAGATTACACAAGATGATTCTCTGGAAATATCTATCGTGTTTGGAAAGAGAAGACCACCCCAGAAATCTCCTGCGTTGATATCTCTCTGTCGAGGTATTCTGTAAGTACATGTACTGTGGTATTGTAGTATTCTCTATCTCATTGCTTGGCAACCTTTTCATAGCCAGCGTCCACTTTTCTTCCACTTTTAAAGAGCTAACATTTTCACGCCGCCCACCTGCATGTATTTCGTAGCGGGGGTAAAGTAACACCCTTCACCTTTACTTTAATCAATAATTTGTCTATACTATTTGTCTGTTTGTCTATTATCTATTTGTTTGTTTGTCTGTTTGTCTATTTGTCTATTTGTTTATTTGTCTATTTGTCTATTTGTCTATTTGTCTACAAGGTTGGGATCATAGCAGATGGTACATGCCCGTTGCTGCCCACCCTCTCTTGTCCCAGCTGACTGACAAAATATATTAAAATGTACTCGATAAAATAACGTCACCACTCGGGAACGGAACCCATGTCTTCTGTTTGCAATAGCATTTTTTAACATTGTTTTTTTTTTCTTCTCAGCTTTAGTTTTAGAAAGAGTTTGGCGCACTTACAATACCATTAAGTCAAATAGGTGTCTGAGATCTGAAGCGTTTCTGGAGAGAGTAGCACACGAAGAAAAGAAGAAGGAAAGATAATGACGATAGAACATGTTTGATAGGAGAGAAAGAGGAAACCACACCAGAGTGCTCACCAGCAAACCACTTATAATTGCTTAAATGGTATGTAATCAGTAATCTCCTCGGGAAAGTGAAAAGATCGAGACTACTATGCAACCTCTAGACCAAATCTGTGAACCTGATACCTTCTGGTTAGCACAACGTCGTGTGCATGTCACGTGTTAGCTTAGCTGTAGTCAGCACATGGTTATGATGCGGTCAGTTTTGTAGATGTTACGCTATATATATTGCTTTAGTTTAGTTTTAGTAGAGGTTTAATATCGCTCGCAACTGCATAAGGTCATATGAGCGCCAGAAGATTAGAGGTGTTACAAGAGAGTAACAAACATAAAAAAAGAAGAAGGGGAGATAAGTACGATAGATGTTTCATAGGAAAGAAGAAGCAAACCACACCAGAACACCCGCCAACCACCCACATATGTATTGCTACTTTTGTAGGTACGATTGACTGTCTTCAAGGATGGGTGTTAGGGTTACAATCATATAGAAAACAACACAATGACAGCATATTCTGCTCCTATTATCATCATCGCTGGCATTGTATAATATCCACTGCTAGCCATGATAATAAGAAGAACGGTTCAATGCAAGCTCCTACATAGATTCGTGATGTCACAAAGGGAAGAACGGTGATTATAATGGTACAGAATGTTTGACACATTCAGATTGTGGTACAGAATGTTTGATACATTCAAATTGTGGTACAGAATGTTTGATACATTCAGATTGTGGTACAGAATGTTTGATACATTCAGATTGTGGTACAGAATGTTTGATACATTCAAATTGTGGTACAGAATGTTTGATACATTCTGATTGTTGTCCAAGCTACTGCTTCTTACCATGCTCTGGGTAGCTTACTTTCTTTTTGTTTATGACAACGTAAGTACTATTCTATAAGTCATTTAGACACCACAGACGCCAGTGTTGTTAATGTCGAGAACCTCCGTCTGTGGTGTAGCTGTTAGACACTTCGCTGTCGTACTCAAGAAACCCGAGTTCGATTCCCGAGTGGGGAGAATTTTTATCGAATGTCGCTCGGTCTTTCCACTGGGGTGTTGTTGTACGTACCTCTCTCTGTCTCAGCCTGGGGTTGACCCTGACAGGCAGGGTCCAAGTCCGACTCCTAATAAAGGATCTTAATTGTGTCGATGGGGGCGTACAAACTCCTTCATTTTAAAAAAATAGGTTGGGGATGGGCAGTGAGCCCAGGTCGTTCACACCAGACCCCCGCACCCAGCGGAGACGTGGCGGTAGACCTGAGGTCCCATGCTGTGACGTGATGGAAACGATTGAGGCCGCCGCCCTCGCCAGAGATTAAAAGGGTTCTATGTGTATTTGAGGTACTTTTGAGATATCGGACGCCAATGTTTGTGAATTTCTTCTCCTTCTCGTTCATCTTCTAATTAAATGGACAACCCAGTCTCTAGTGCGAAGACTGTTGTTCGCCACAGGGCCCCCAGACTCCCGTAGAGTTGTGGGTCTCCCTGTCTCTTCGCTACCACAGAATTACAAAGTTCTCTCTGCTCAGTGCCTAGTTTAGAGAAATTTCACGTAAAAATATGAGTTTCACAATTATGTTAAGCTTTTTAAACGCAATCCTTTGAATACCTTGATTGGCGCTCATATGACCTTATGCAGTTGCGAGCGCCGTAAAACCCTCTACTAATAATATAAAAATAATATCTTGATAACCACTCCGATTAATCTTACGACTTTGATACAGCAGATAGGGTATTTGATTTCTGACGTCATCAAAACGGCCAAAAATGTCAGATAGAATTTTATAATTCCGAGGTAGCGTATGGTTGAGCCAATATTTTCTTCCAAGTGCCCGTACATTGGGTAGGCTTGTAGTAGATGGTTTGTTTGTAAATTTTAAATGCAAGCGCATTTGGGGCCTTTCCCCTTGTGTATTTCTCTCAGAGCAGAGTTGTTGATTCAGAACGACAAACAGACCACCATCTAGTGCGTTGCACATAGACCCGAATCAAATCGTAACTCGAAACATACACTCATCGCATATAAAACCCTTAAAAAAAAAAAAAAGTTTAAGTAAGTGTTTTACGGCACTTGAAACACATTCAGGTCATATATGTGCCGGAGATTAGAGGTGTTACAAGAGAGTAACAAACACAACAAAAAAGAAGGAGGAGATAAGTACGATAGCTCTTTGATAGGAAAGAAGGAGCAAACCACACCAGAGCACCCACTAACTACCCAGATAGAGCCCTTTTCATCTCAGACGACGCTGTATTGAAAGAGTGTAGTAAATCAGTACTTCGCTACCTCAGAGTTACAGAGTTCTGTCTGTTCAGTTCCTAGTTTTGAGAAATTTGGCGTCAAAGATTTTGAATTTCACATCATGCCAAGCTTTTTCAAATGCAATTCTTTATACTTCTTGAAAACGCCTCCGAATAACCTTACGGTTTTGATTGATACAGCAGATAAAAAAAGTCGGTTTCTGACCTCATGGTCTTAGTAACTAAAAATAGTCTCCCCC